TTGTGACATAATTCATGGTACTATTCCAGCATTTTCTTGGTATGACTGAGGACAACCACAAAAATTCTCAGTCATAACAGTCAGTGTCTCAGACAAGAATAATTTCAAGCACTTGAACAAATGCGACAAGTGCCACTGCTTCAACCAACATACCCAGTTCTCAAATGGAGGCTCCAGATTTATTTTTGGTCATACTGCAGAACCCAAATTTCTTCAACTTACTTACTTACTAACTTACTCATGACGCTGAGCCCTTCCTGAGGATCCGCCAATTCTGCAGATATTCAAGCATTTCCCAGCATTTTATGGAACCCAAAGGTTCATTATCGTGTTCACAAGAGCCCTCCAGTAGTCCCTATCCTGAGCCAGATCAATCCAATCCATCCCATCCTATCTCTCTAAGATCCATTTTAATACTGTCCACCAACCTACGCCTTGGTCTTCCCAGTGGTCTCTTTCCATCTGGCTTTCCCACCAATATCCTATATGCATTCCTTGTCTCCCCCATTCATGTTACATGCCCTTCCCACCTCATCCTCCTTGACTTGATCATTCTAATTATACTTGGAGAAGAGTACAAGTTATGAAGCTCCTCATTCATTATTTTCATTTTCCTAACATGATTATTTTTACAGTGAGGATCTGTTAGCCCCACGCCCAACCCTCAAGCTGGAGGACCACCCATTGTCGGCTGCCCATGACTGTTTATTCAATATATTTGCAGCTTCCCTTCATAGCTGGAGAGTGTCTCCTCCATCCGCAACCTGATGATGAGCCATACCGTGGTCATAAGGGACCCACCTAACATGGTAAATTTCTTCAATAGTCACTTTATTTTGTAAATATGTGAATTCTTCCAACACTTTCATCAAAGGATGTGGGCAATTTTCTCTCTTCTTATAGCTGATTTTTAATGGAATTCTGAACAGACTTTCTTCAAGGCAATCATCAATCTCACAGTTTTTCTGTTCTTGTTCAGTTTTGTTTCTCTTTTTCAATGTCAATCAGTAATCACTGTGTGCCATTTTGATATCCCCCCCCCCACACACACACACATTTGGACCAGTCCCTGAATGTTTCATGAGCCCAGAACTGTCATCTCAAAATTACTTAACTTACAAAACCCTGTGTTTCTCACTATTCACTTTTCACAAACTGTCTACAATATTTTGTGTCACTGGCATTTTCCTCTAATTTCACTAATAATCTTAACGATAATTACCTGCTCTAACAATCTGTAATCCACATTGATAAACAAAGACAACACTACATCAACAAAAGACATTAACCACAAAACACATTTAATTCCAAGAACTGCTTAACCCATAGCTGCTGAATCATGTAGTCATGTGCCAGCAAACTAGTGTTGACAGTTGCCGTACAAAAGCATCAGTCTGGTTATTTAAATGTCACACCCATTAATCAAAAAACACAAGAGTTACTTGATTCTGGAGTGCAACCTTCTTATGTAAGTTAATAATTTGTCTCAAAATTATTAATTCTAGCCTTTTCAACTAAAGTATCACTTGTTGCATATTTATTACGTCCTTTATGTAAACAAATGAAAATACAAGGGTACTCTACATCACTACACAAAGAGTAATATGATTTTTAAGCCAACCTGCCAGAGTGATCATGTCGAGAGGGCCATACATAAAACGTGCCACAAGAACCTGACGGGCACCTTCTCTCACTATGACATCATTAGCACGATGGTTTGCAGCAACATTCTGAAAAGGGAGAAAAAAATATCCTATGATGCACAGTCCATGAAACCAGAACCCTCATAACAATGACATCACATTACTCCCTCACTCTTGTGACAGACAGTGCTTTACCCACTGATCTCAGCAGTATACATGGCAGACATCTACACATGAAGCAGCAAAGAAAGGCAAGATCTAGTGTGTGTGACACTAGAAGACCTCTCCACTGAGCTGCAACTTTCAATAGCTGACATGCAAAATGATGAAGAGAATGTGAAGGATATTTAGTCAAGAAAATGTGAGATTTGAGGATGTCATGGTGACTGTGAAGATTATGTCTTTAGGAATGTGACACCAAAGCAGTTTGATGGATATTTACTGATGTTCTGGAGGTACATGTTGCCTCCATCTTCAGAGCAGAAGCATTATGTCAGTAAATATCTATCACATTCCATGATGTCACATTCTGGGATACAGCTATTTTTATAACCAGATACTTCTTACTTCTGACATGAATACACTTTCCCTGAGTGTGCTCTACAGTCACATGAACACAGAAATGGAAAAACCACAACTTTCATAATTCATGTTAATCTTTAGCTCCGTTTACAAAATAATTATGTCTCATGATGCTATAGAAGCATTTCAGTATAGTGAAAATGCAATAAAACTTTTAAACATCAAAAGTAGTGAAGTGTGTAATCAGGTTTAATACCAGCATTTATTATAGTTAGAATACTGTATTTATAAATTTAAAACTCTGGAATTATCTACCAGTGGATTTACATCACTACCTTTAATTTTGTTTCTGGTTAAGGACAGCAGTAAGCAACATACAAGCAAATAAACTGTAACTGGAGTTTTAATTTTCATTCTTGTAACATCAGACTTTTACCTGTTAACACCTACAAGCAGTCTCATGTCCTTCAACGTAACTAGCTGTCTACTTACATCTGTACCAGCCCATCCTATATTTAATGTGTAAGCATTTTCTTACTAGCACCAAATCACCTTGATTAATTAACTTCATCATTAAGCAATTATCTCCTTATCCCTTAGGTACAGAGTGTAGGACAGAAAGGAGGTGCCTAAGACTGAAAAATCAGTATAAAACATCAAATTCAGTAGCCATCTTGTTCACAACATGGTACCAAGTTACACAAATTGCACATCACTTGGTAGATTCCTATTCCCTGTGGCCCCCATGGCTACAACAAACATGCTTACAATGAAGCCAGACTCCATCATATTAGTTTTTTAGGTGGAAAATCCAATGAGCATACAATCTAACATCTGTTTCACAGAATTTCCAAACTCATGGATGTCTTAAAATGAATCAAATGTTAATAACAACCAAAGTAGAGTTTAAGAACATACACATAAAAGCACATTTCCTTTCATTGACTTTAATTCACATCTAGACTAGTGTCACTGCTAAAAATTCAATGGAAAGCACTGTCATTTGTTAAACAAATTACATTATTAGTGTCTGCTGATTATATACAGTTTAATTATAACATTAAGTTTTAAAGCTCAACACAAAAGTGGGGCCACAATAATGGTGAAGCAGCAGATTTTAGTGCTTGTAAATGTAAACTTACTGGCTTTTATGAATACAGACTTCTTAGGTTCAGCTCCTTTATCCCTTCTGAAACTTTACCTCTGTCCTTTCAAAACCCTTTTAATTGTTCATACTACTGCCCTTCATTCCTCATTCAGATTTACAGTAAAACAGTTTAGATAAGTGCCACTCCAAACAAGCTGTTATAGGAGAAAAACAATAAAGAATATCAGACATGCTATGTACTCTGTTATTTCAACATTTTCTCACAGATCTGCATCCCATGTCCATGCAAGCAACAAAACACACATGCATATACTGACTTTTATAATTATAGATATATGGAAGTATGTATACGTCATCAAATGATGCATCGAGGGTGTCTGATGATTAACACTGTCTGCCAGGCACTGACAGTAACTACGTCCTCTACAAGTGCAAGCAAACATACATCGCACTGGCCTTCTTATATAAGATGTACATGCTCACCAATAGGTTAAAGAGAACATAAAACATGGAGTGCTGATAGAATCACCTACACAGAAAACAAAATTAAAAGTGTCAACACAAAGGAATGAGATACTCGGGAAAGTGTCCTAAATGATAAACACTGAAATAATTTTATAGGTCCACCAGGACAAACGTTGGGAAGAATAATATAAGATGAAGCTGTATATACAATATTTACTCATTAGGAGTGTACAACATTACTGATTCTCCTTTTCTTTTACATGTTGGACTTCACTGTAGATACTGCAGTTTCATTCTACACCCACTCCCCCTTCCAGTTGACTGACAGAAGGATCTCATTTCTTGATTAAAAGAACTTCTAGCTAACTTTGTATACAACAACTTTATAGTCCTCTATTTGTAAGGAACACTATGTTTACAACTGACAAAGGTAAGTGGCAGCCAGGATTCAGAATGTGGGACACATTATCAAGTTTTGGGAGAATAAAATAGTGATCTCACACACCAGTTTGTATGAAGACAAAGTAACTGATTATTTTAATATTCTTTTATTGGTAGAATTCACTCTTATATGACAATATAAGGAGAAAATATCATAACTGCCCTTTGTAGAAAATAAATATATTGTGTAAAAAGTGTAGCAATTATCTGAGTACACATGAAAGTTCGTTTCTAATTATCTAGAATTATGCCTTGAAAAATTCTTATCTGTAAAGAAATTACAGTACTTTCTTTAGCCTACTTTCCTTATTTTGAAAAGGTAAAAGTAGGCTTATGAGATCACCTTGTTATGTCCGTGTATCTCCCCCACATCAACTTTTGAATGCCTGAACTGATCATTATAAAACTTGACATGTATATTATGGCACCTGAGCCCATCTCAGCAGCATACTTAATAAAACCCTCTCATCAGTCTGTGTGTCTGTATGTGTATCCCTTTACCGTTGCTAGGCAATGGCTTGATAAACATGTTCCCACAGCACAGAATATGTGCAACAGCAGAAGAATTGTTGGATGCGTCATTTACTATATGGTCCATGTCATATGAAATGAGAGTCTGAGCATGTGTACTGCCAAAGTGGTGGTCTGAAGACTTCAAGAGCTGTCAGGCAGTAAGACATGGTCATGAGTCCCATGGGACTTGGAACCAAGAATCACTCTGCTGGCAGTAGCAATTTATTGGACTGGACTAAACTGTGTACCCCCCACCCCCTACCGCTGCTAGGCACCTGGTCAGTAAACATGTTCCTGTGGCAATGAATAATTGTTGGAGGCATCATTTTCTATGCGGACAGCATCATTTCAAAGAAAAGTGGGCTATCAATTCTTACCACAACTTCTTTACTTGTATGCTGTACCTTAAGTTTCACAGAAGTTCTCTTCTTGATCCACTTTTCTCTTGGTTGACTTGGGCTGAAGCTTGCAAGGTCCTTGTCTTCATTACCAATTGTTGGTACAATGTCTACTCGACCAAGCTGTAAGAGAAATCCAAGACATAAAATTTCCTAATATTCTGAAAATATCGGATGCAACTTTTTTCAAAACTTGTAAGCAGTATTCTATTGACCTTTAAGCAAAACTTTTGTACAGTGTTTGAATTTCAGATATATCCCACAATTTTGTCTTTGAACCTTCTAATGCCCACTGACACTTAATGCACAAAATGCCACGTGCAAAAACTACCACAGCGAGGACCTTAAAGCTTCTTCTCAGATCTGAGCATATTCTATGCTACCAGATTATAATCACTTTATCTTAGAATATCCTGACATCTTGGAACTACTCTTGAGTATTCCTAGTAGCCTTGCACTGTGCAGTTTGTCAATTTGGTGGCAGTCTGAATGCTCACTATCATTCAATTCAGAGTCATTCTTTCCATCTCTCATCTGAAAACACAAAGATTAAAATACAACACTATAATTTTATACTTTATATTGTGGTCTTCTGTGTTATGACACTGTGCAGTCTGATAGGTGATATGACAGTTTTGAAGAACATAATGCCTCTGTCTTCAAGGGAGAAGTGAGCTCTGTTGGGAAGGTAGCTGGGTATATAGAAGAGGTAGGGGAAGAAAAAGGTTATGGAGCATAGGAGTGGCTGATCAGAAAGGAATGTGGAAGAGGAGACAGGACTCTGGACAGACCAATGGAAACAGTAGGTCCTGAGGAATGTGAATTAGCCTAAGACAGCAGAAAAGAAGTATATAAAAATGAACTGAAGATGGAGATAGCATGTTCCTCCAAAATGGTGGTATCCACTGACTATATGCTGAAATTACCTGGAAGACCACAATTTGAATTTCTGCTGCCATGAAAACTTTGAATCTCGTGTGATTTTACCGGTTGTTATATGGAGAAATATAACTTGGTCTTTTACTGTAAGTGAAGAACAAACTGAGGGTATCTGAAGACAAGGCACTGATGAATTGTTTGTATCTATGAAGAAGGAGGTAATATGAGGATAAAAGAAAACTGCATGATGAAGAGGTTTATAATTTGTATGCACTAACTTCCTTATTTTATACTTCTCATCAATCATTTTTAGAGTGAGCTCCAAGGAACATTTGAGTTCATCCTTCTAATCACCCTAGGTGACTACACACAAATCCTTCAGGAGTATAAAATGTGTATCAACAAGGAAAAGCATATTTCAATGCTTATTTAATACCCAGAACTTAATTATGAACTATAACTAGTTTGCAGTACTTATATAATATACCTAACATTTCATTTTCCATGATACTACAAACTAAGAATGAAGATAAAGAGGGGCAAGTAATATACATCACACTTGAGTGCAAGGTCTGTGATATGCAAACTCTCACCTGGCGCAAAATAAATGCTATGACATCAGAGGATTCCCAGTAACTGGCATGGAACAGGTGGGGCAGAGCATTGGTTGGAAAGTTTGCCAGTCCTTCAGGACAATACAGTGCATAGTCAAGCCGCTTTGTGCCCCACCATTTCTGGGTTACTGTGAACACAACAGCTGAAGTCACTAAGAATCAGAATCAACCTGACCATAAGATTTAATCTTTCCAGGTCCATACTCTCACATTTTAGCAGCTTCAAAATAACATTAGGAACAAGAACAGCTGTGACTTATACAGGGGGTTAAATTAAGAAGGATTACCAACCTAGAACAAATTTGGTAAAAGAATTGATTTGATTGTAGATTCCCAGAAGAGAATTACTTCTCCCTGCTACTGATTGTACACAGAGATAGTAACGTCAGGCAGATGGAAATACATACAGCTGAGCCATCATCAACTGAGCCTAGTGCTTCGGAGGTAAAAAATGCTACTGAAAAGTTTTAAAGATATAAATCTCCATATACTGATAAAATTCTGACAGAAGTGATTCAAGAAAGGTGTGAAACATTACATTGTAGGATCTATGAACTCATTCATTCTATTTATTATTTGGAATAAGCTAGAACTGCTCCAGCTGGGGAACAAGCTTATTATTGTACCTATTTACAAGAATGGTGATAAAATTTCCTGCAATGGTTACTGAGCCATATTGTTGTTATCGACTTCATTCACAATTTTATTCTATACCCCTTCCTCAAAGTTAACTATATATGTAGAAAAAATTACTGGGGATTATCAGTGTGGGTTTCAACATAACAGACCAACTACTGATCAGATTTTTTGAGTTTGTTAGATATGGGACAGAAAATGGAAGCACAATGAGAGAGCATTAGCTACTTGCAGATTTCAAGAAAGCCTATGATTCAGTTACCAGAGAAGTACAGTACAGCATTCTCATTTAGTTTGGTATACCCAAGAAATTAGTCAGATTAAGCAGAATGTTTCTGAATGAAACCTACAGTAAAGTTCATACAGGTAAACATTTCTCATACATTTCCTGTTCTGAATGGTCTGAAACAAGGAGATGCTTTATTGCCATTTCATTTTAACTGTGCTTAAGAATATGCCATTATGAAGGTTCAAGAAAACCAGGTAGGACTGAAACTGAATGACACATCAGCTTGTGGTCTATACTGATGTTAATTTACTGAGGGATAACATAAAAAAGCTCTAATAAATGCCAGTAAGGAAGCTGGTCCAGAAGTGAACACACAAAGAACTAAGTAGATGCTAATGTCTCATCACCAGAATGCAGGACAAAACCATAGCATGAAGACAGCTAACAGATCCTTTGAAAATGTGGCAAAATTAAAATGTCTGGGACAGCTCCACTCCCCCATGCATCTTCATGGCATGATGCTTAACCCGTTGCCGTGGTTCGTCGTGTATGTTTCGTCAGGGATTTAAATCGTCTGGGGGGGTTCGACGTGTATGTTTCGTCCAGCTGCACACGTATGTTATAACGCCCATAATAATTGATGGTTTTGCTGTAGATTGTTAGATTTTTCACTGGCCTGTTGTCAGGAGGACTGTATTTAATGACACACGCGTTTAAGAGCGCTAAGTCGTCGTTACATATGCCTGTCTTGCAGCAACGTTCCTGTGGCTATTGCGAGCTGTTTCTGTTATGAATGATGTGTTTTNGCCGAGATACAGGGCGCCCATATTATAAGGTAAGGTTATAAAACCACCATTTAAGATCATTTTAGTGAAAGTTTCATGTTCCTATCTCATAGAATTTAAGAACAATGATGAATAAATAATTTTCGAGCAAAATTTAAATGGCCGGCTGAATATATTACCGCAGGAGCCGCGGCCGCGGAATTTAAATGACCACGTCAAAGGGTTAATTAAATAAGCACAGGGCTAACTTTACCTCTTCATGTTTGTCATTATCAAATCAAAATTTCATTCAAGAGGAAATTAAGAACAGCTTAAATATGGGTAATGCTTACTACCATTCAGTACATAACCTTACATTTTCTTGCTGCTGTCGAAAAACATAAAATTAAAATACTATAATTTTGCCTGTGATTTTGTATGGGTCTGAAAATTGGTCTCTGATATCAAGGGTACAACAAAGATGGTGGGGATTTGAGAACAAGGTGTTCAGGAGTATATTTTGACCTATGAGGGATAAAATAAAATAAAAAACTTCATAATGGGCTTCACAGCCTGTATTCCTCATATGTCATTAGAATGATCTAGTCAAGGAGGATGACATGGGCAGTGAATGTAGCATACATGGGAGAGGAGAGAATATAGAATTTTGACAGAAAAACCTGAAGAAAAAAGTCCACTAAGGAGATCCAGACATACAAAGGAGGATAATATTATATGGTATTTTACAGAAATAGGCTTGTGTGTGTATGATCTGATTAGGACAGGACAGGGACCAATGGTAGGCTCTTGTGAACATGGTAATGGACATTGAGCTCCATAAAATGCTGGGAATCTGAATGACATGGCAACTGTTGGCTTCTCAAGCACTCAGTTCCACGTAATTATGAAATTAATCAGTTATTCTCATTTTTTTGGCATAACAGATCATTGAAGGTTGCAGCACAATGGCCGGTTTAGGCCTACCACTCATGCATTTATTCTCATATTTTGCCATATATATTATTCAACGCCCCAAACAGCCTAGACATTGGACTAAGTTTGCAAATACTGTTCTGAGTCTAACACAGGGTTCCTATTTTAGCATGTGACAAAGAAGCAGACTCAATTTAAATTATCTTCTTTTCATTCTGGGGCCATTTAGATTATTGAACTGACATTAACATTGAACCAGAATGTGATTTCTGAATATGCTGAATATAATTTGATGTCTTATGAGACAAAATGAAAAGATGTTAAAACCTGTATACAGTCATATATTTGTGAAAGTAACAGCAAAACTAAATATGCCTCTCTTCATAATAAAACTGCAAATGGATAGAGAAGATTAATTTATATGGTACATGTTGTTGTACCAGGTCAGGTAATTTAATTTGATACAATACTTCCTTTGGTGAAGTTCACATTGAAAACAAAAACAGTTACAAAACAATCTTTCTGATGTGTATGAGACACTTACAGGCATTGATTGTTTGAAGTGGTAAAGAGTCAATCACACCTGATATTGTACTCTGTATACTGACTTCTGACATTCGCCGCAGGTGGCAACCTGGTGTGGGAGGGGCTATATTCAAACCTTCTGCAAACATTTGTGGATTGGCCTGGATTACTTCCACTGCAGGAAAAAATAAATGTTATTCATTAAATATACAAATTCATAGCTTGTCTATAAATAAATAATATAAACAGAGAAACCATACAGTTCTGAGATTTACAAAACTGATTATCTTCTGTACATAAAGAGATTAAGAATATGTCAACAGTGTTAAGTCTGTAACTTTTGTGAACTGAATGTGTACTCAGCTCACTTCAGACCCAGTATCAAAGTTGAAACGACAAAACTACAGTGTTCAAACAGCCTGTCTACACTTGTAAAATATTTCCACTATGGATTTATATTACCAGTAGCAGCCCTTTCTAATGCTTACAAACTAATTTTTTAAACATACTGGATAATTTCAGACACCTACTTACATGAATTTAAGATGAACCTGACAAAAAACATTTATGCTTCCTATGCAGATCTAATCTAATTTACAGAACTACTGTACCAATAATATGGCTAAAGCTACTAACTGTAACAATTCCAAAACCTAACAAATCTCCAGATGTACTCCACAACTACAAAACATTATCAACAGTGCTAAAATTATGGAAAAACTGAATTCAGTTTCTAGGTACTTAATGCCTTCTCACCCCAGTGAAAGCAGTATTTAGGACAACCACTCAATACTCAACAGGTATTATTCTGAGAGAGAAACAGTGAGAGTAGTCAACATTCAATATTACGTGGACATCTGAACACACAGGTCCAAGTGTCTGAGTGTTTGCTTCATCCGGGAGCAATAAAATCACTCACAGAGATGATATGGTTGTCCATTTCCCAGAGGATACTTCTGGTAGCGAGCCACATTTACAGGAGGCAACATGGAGAATCTTGCAGAGAGAAGTGGCTCAAGCCTTGCAGCTACTGGATCTGTTGGGTGGAACAGATTGTATACTTGTTGTACCATGGGTCTTGCAATAAGAGCTGTAAAATAAAAGAATTGAATTACACTATGTACTAAGGATTACTTTTACATTTCCACTAAATTCATCATAACAACTATTTGAAACTAGCAATATCTTCAAGAAAGTTCTCCTTTGCTTACTTTATATCACTATGGCCAGGAATGTGTTATGCAATCTATAATCATGGACCATAATGGAGACCTAGTGATGGACTGGAGGATAATATATACAATGGGGCATAAAGAAATAAGGTGTGAAAGTGTGGCTTGGATTTAACTTACTCATGAGATGGTTAAATGGTGGGTTCTTATGAACACAGGAAAGAACCTTCAGGTTTCATAAAAGTTGCACAATTCTTTAGCAGTGAAGTGCCTATTAGTTTTTCAAGAAGGAATCTGTTCCAAAATATCAGTTAATTAGTCACAAAATTAAATATTATAAAGATGGGGTGGCTTCCAATGATGTCACTCATACTAAGTTCAAGGGAAGTTACTATGATTATTATGTTTGGATACACACACATATGGGTACATGGCCACAATAAATTGAAGCCTGGCTTCTCTCATATAATAATAAAAATAAGCTAATAGGAATAAAGCATGTATTTATATAAAACAACTTTGCTTATATTATTTTCACATTTATTAGAAACTCAAGGCAAAGTTTTCAATCTGTTTTCCATACACCATAACAAGTATACCCTTGTCATACCCCAATAAATTTTGAACACACTGACTGACTACTGTGAATCTGTGATACTGGAAGTCAGCTAGCCTTAGAACGTTTTCATTCTGTACCACTATTATTACCAACATGATAGTATTATTGGACTTCTAAAAGATGGCCTTGAACATCTGAGCAGTGACATATTGTTAAAGAAAGCAACATTTTTATGGTTACTTCTGGATAGTATATAAAAAGGGCATTGAAATACACATTCTTTCATTTGCATTATCATTACAGCTAGGTACTGCAGCAACAGTGTTCATCTTCAAAGCACTGAACATCTATTTGACAGCAAAAAATTATGCACATGGACAAGTCAATAAGCTGTAATATAATTATTAATTTCTAATCTTTGGCAACCTTCCTGCAGACAAACAACATAACAACATGAAAAAAAAAAGGAAGATATAATACATTCTCCCTGTAAATAAAGAATCTGCTTATACACCCAAGAACATGTTCACACACATACACATGAGTGCAAATGCATTCACATAGATAGACACATGGGAACATACATGAACCTACTCAAATAAGTTTAAAATTGTCTGTTAAACTAACATTTTGAACAAAGTTGATAAATACTACTCTCTTTTTCCCAGTGAAATAATTACTGAAATAAATAACACTGAACTTAAAATTTCAAAGGATGATTTTCCTTTTACATAATTTTCAGTTTCAGAATCAGAGTATATCATAACACCTCTGCATGCAATACAATACTCACTGTTCTTATCATCAGGTGAAGATATCTTCCTATAAGCAAGAACCAAGGCCAATGGACTTCCAAACATGAAGAAATCGCTCACTTCAAACTCTAATTTACACTGATGATCACTGAAACAAATCCACAAATACACACACACATATATATATATTGTAACGTGTTTACGTTACCGAAGACGCCGTAGAGATGGTTAATTGGGTTTATTTAACAATCTACAAATAACGGCTATAATTAATGATCACAATATTACGGGTTTCCACACTTTACAAACCCTACAACAAAGTCTCTTAACACAATCTTCACTTGTCTTCATGTACTGATAACGCGGGAGCTATACAAGTCTCCCTGAAATACACACTCCGAGTATAACTGTACTACAGCAATCACTATGTCTGGAAAGCACACAATAAGTCTTCCGCTCGCTGACTTCTTAGTTATCGCACACTCACAGGCT